CAGCTTACTTCTGTTTGAAGTAATGCAGCAGGTTGCACTTAGATACCATTAAGGTGGCTGGGTGATGCTAGACTTAGATATTAAAGATTTTTATGTAGTTGCAAATGTAATTTCAAAAATCTAATAAAGTACTAGCATGACTGCTTATATTAAAAAAAAAAAAAAAAAAAAAAAAAAAAAACTAACTATACAGAATATTAATGCAAGGGTAAATTTCAAAATCTTGTAAGTGATCACACTGTAAGTATTTTTACTGAAGGCACTTATTGACAGATTGAACTATAATTAGGTTATAACCTAACGATTTTCTTGATCATCTTTAGTTAATGTGCCAATATATGGCTGGAAATCATGCAGAGCATAGAACCAGAACCGAAGTATGATACTTTGAAGAATTCAGTTCATGTTTTTGGAAGAGACCAGGTAAGGTTCTACATTAATCTCGAACATTCGTCTGCCTTTGCTGTAGGTGTCTTTGAAATAGAAACAAATTATTGTTAATTATGTATAAAAAAATCTAGAAACACAGTTTGATTAGATACATAACATAAATGCATTCTCAAAAAGAAGAAGAGAAGAAAGACAGCAAAATCGTACTCCACTACCAACCTATGAAAAAGTTTTATCAATGCTAAATATGAGTCATCATGAATCTTTTGTTAGTCAAAGGGATCAATCTGCATTCCTGGCTTAGAGAATTCCCACCAGAAGAGACAAAACTACTAATTGAGATAATATAAATAATGTAAATGATGCAGATAAGAATTTAGGCCATAATACTAATAATGTAGGTAAAAATTTAGATAATGCAACATACTCATCTTTATCTAATTTGGTAAATACTACCTCAACCCCTAAAATATCTGCATCACAAAATGACAGTGATATTAGTATGCCCAATATAGAAGGTAGCCAACCACCTTCCTGTATGAAAAATATAAATGAAGAGGATTAGCCTTATATTTGTTTTTAGGGGTGGCTTCTCTAAGCCATAAATATTCTTACATCCTATGATAATTGTATAATGACAATAAATAATTCAAATTTTAATCCATTAGATGATTCAGTCATATATAAAACATTATGTAGATGTTCATCCAACATTCAATTTTATATATTGTGATTTCAGATTTACTATAAAAATAAATATTCAAAAGAAATGCCTGCAAACAAATATTTACATTATTTTAGACGCAAACCATCCTCATACTATAAGACATAACTATATTAAAAAAATAATTAATATAAATTATGATGTGTACAGTACTTCAGTATTTATGTGTTACTGTAGAATTTTTTCCTATTACTGTCTTAAGATCACTAGCAACAAAATCTTCAGACTTCTAATAAGATCGAATATATTCTTGAGTTTGAGTTTTAGTAGATAAATGAATTCCACTCTGGGTCTTATGCTAAAGAATATATATTCAAAAAATTGTTAGATTAATATACAAATTTTTTTTTATTGTGAATAGTAATATAATTTTCTCGGTGAATACATTTGAATTACTTTATGTGGTATGGTTCAGGGAGTTTAAAACCTATGAAGTCTGCATCACCTTTCATTTTACACATGCTTCACATCAAGGATGATGATCATACTCAAGATAAAGAAAAAAATTTAACTCTGAATAGGAAGGAAACAGTTGGATCCTAGGCCTGCCTTGAAAGGTGAAAACTGCCCCTAAGAAGACTATATTATAAAACTAAATGTAATAGATACTTTATATACTTTAAGAAGATCATAAAATATATTTGTTTCTTCAATTTGATTAGCACTAGAATTGAGTGTGAAATCACTGTTTCTGATGATTAGACTATCAGATTTTTCAATTTTAGCTTTTTTTATAATGTGTAGTTCTTTCTTATGCAAATTTCTCTTGGAGGCCTTCGACATAGTAATGTATTTTGTAGTGACATAATGTTGATATAAGTATGTAATTTATAAAAACAAAAATAAAAATTTTTAAGATGTTCTCTTGAAAACTAACAAATTCAGAACAGAACTTTGTAATGAGGATAACCCTTTTATTATAAATTATGACTTATTTTTATTTAGTATATAACAATCTGATACGAAGCAATATACAATGTAAATGACTTGGTATTGCAATAATCCAATACGAGTCAACTAACAATTTTTATTTGGCATCATAATAATTACTAACAAACAAACAATTGTGTATTTACTAAATTCAGCATCACAATTATTGAACATAGTAAATTAACTAACAATTGTGCATTTTCTATATTTAGAATTAGATTGTTAGCAGATATTTTAGTTATATAGGGTATGATAATAATTTTATATACTATCCCCCAAGCCTGATTTACAAATTTAGAATAAGTGCTATGCACTTCTTTATTTATGCTATTATGTTGATCAAACATCTAGTATTAAATTTTTTTACTGTTGATAGCTATCAAAAATAACTTTACAGCTATTGGTGATATTAATCTATGCTAGAAAAAATAAGTACATATTATTTAATGGTCCCGCAGGTCTGCTTTTATTTGGGCCTAGGTTGAAGCTAAAATAGCAATAAAAACTTGACTGGCTTTAATAATCAATAGCCTATATTAAACTTTATACAGTGTTATCTTAATTTCTTATGATCAATTTTTTTATTAACGAATACTGTATTACAAATGCAAATAATGTCTAAACCCTTTTACTTATTTTATATGATTCCATAATAAGAATAAGACTTAAAAAAGCTATAAAGACAATGAGTATAATATTCTTTATTAGTATTTTTATTAAAATTTATATATTACAAAAACTTGGCATTCTCAGATTATTGAGATTATTAACTTTTTTTACATCACAAGAGAGATCGTCAAATATAAGAAGTCTAATTTTATCAAAAAAATAACAAAATAGCTTTAGTATATAAAACTTATAGCCAAATAGACTTGTTTTATATGGTGGAATCTAGTTTGTATTTGGTAATGTAATTACTAATCATATATTTTTCTAGCAAGTTTTTTAGATCTAGTGATTGGAGGTTAAAAATAAGCAAGTTTCTAACTTAAGATAAGTTAGCAATAACATTATTTTTTGCTTATATATTTTTTATTTGATTTACTTATTAAAAATTTTTTAAAAAAGTAATGTTTTTGTTATTTAATAGTTTATAAAACTGAATTTTACTTATTATATTTTTTATTTAGAACTGTAAAATGAGCACTAAAGATACTACCACTCTCAAGACTAACAATGCCACTACTCCCAAGACTAATAATGCTACCACCCCCAAGATTAATGATGCTACCACCCCCAAGACTAACAATAGCACCCTCTCAAGACTAATAATAGCATCACTTCCAATTATTCTAAATCAAAGCAACAATACAAACTGAGAAAATTTTTATCTTGTAAGTAAACTTTATGCTGTGCCAGTACATTTGTGCTGAAATATAATTATTAGAATTAAGTTTTTTATTTTACTAAAAATTAGATAATAAGATCTGAGAAAAATGTTGAAAGAAAACTTAGAGTGTGATGAGAAAAATAATGATAATAATTGGTTGAACCCTGGTCAACGAAAGGAAATGTTAGATCAAATATAAACTCTACCAACCTAACTTGTTAAGAGCATTTTTTATTATATAATAAATATATATTTTATTTGTATAATGTTTAGCAACAATGTTTTATTAAATAAAGAGAAGAGGTTCCATGGGCTCACTATTTTTTTTAACTGATCATGTGAATAGGCTCTACTTATTAACCTATGTTTTTACTGTTACTATTGGAATTGAATTTTGATATTTATTTATATAACAATAAAGACGATAAGTTTTTGTATTGACATAATCACCACTCTCAGGTCTTTAGATAAAATAGAAATTGATGATCAAAGTTTGGATAGTGTAGGCTATGAGATACATAGGTTGAATAATTTAGTATTAGAATTTCTAAATATTTTAGTTAATTTTTCTAGACCCGAAGAGACATTACTTCCCAATAGAAAAAAATATCAAGAATACCAACTTGAAGCATTCTATGAACATTGCCCATATTAACCGATTGTTTATAGACCTGAAAAGGAATCGAAGATTTGATGCTCTGCATTATTATTATTTTTTTTTAAATATTAACGATGAGACCATACCTTTAACTTTATTGAAATTCAATTGAAGTTTTTATAAAGAAAAGC